ATTTTAAAATCTAAAGCATTGTTTTGTATGTTGAATTCATAGGTATGAATGGAACTGGCCAGGTGACTGCAACAAGTGATATAACATCTGCTAGTAGCAGCACGCAACAAACACCTACCACACTAATAGTGCAGAACGCTAAGGGTGAACAATTTATCATCCAGGCAAACTTGGCAGAAACCCTGACAGACACCCCTACCCATGTACTGACACAGGTGGCACCAGAAGGAAACACTCTCACATCCAATGTGGTGCCCGCGACAACACAGCTGATCATGGCACCTGGCAGTGTGCAATCCAATGTGGGGCCCGCGACAACTCAGCTGATCATGGCACCTGGCAGTGTGCAATCCAATGTGGGGCCCGCGACAACACAGCTGATCATGGCACCTGGCAGTGTGCAATCCAATATGGTGCCCGCGACAACACAGCTGATCATGGCACCAGCGAACATGCAAGTGCAGGATCTATTGCCGCAGAACAGTGCATTAGAAGTGACTTCAACTGGACAGAACAACCAGGTGCAGCAGAGCACCACTGCAATTGACGTCACCCCAGAGCAAATCACGTATATTGTTGCTGAGAAAACACCTGATGCACACAACAGAATCTGTGAGCCTCACACCACCACGGTAACAGAAGAAAGTGACAGTTTCACCAATAGTGAATCAAATTTGCAAATGAAGTCTGAGATTAAGACAGCCAACTGTGAGCAAGTAAAACACATCAACACGGGTTTATCCCTCTCTGGATATGAGACCATATCAAATGATTTTGTTTCCAACCTATTACAGACACAAGAATCCAACCCGTCCAGTGATCATCTAACTCAGACAGAATTTACCACTACAAATAACATAATCAACACTCTTGGCTTGAGTTTTGTAACTAGTCCTGTGACAATGTCAACGAACACCACATCCAGTGTTACCACAAACAACATTGCTCAAGAAGTGAATTGTATTATACCACATAATAATAGTGAGAGTAAGTAATCGCCTAGTGAACATCAAATTTACCTGCCCTAAGTCTAAATCATTAAATCTTATTACAATTATTGTTAATCAGGATTAATTAGTCATTAAGAGCTCTTTCAGTATGGCAATGCAAAGGAATATTGCTGGCATTCTTAAACATCAGTGAGCACTGTGCTAAGAATTAAATTGTATGTTCTCACCAGTTTACGACAAACTTCAAATTCATGGGTTATCCATTGGCCCTGTATATTACAATGTTGTGAGAGAATCTGCAGAAACACCCTTCAAAACGATTACCATATTTGCTCTATTAGTAGTGTTACGTAAATGACAGTGTTGTATCAAAATAATAAAACAACTAAGAAAGCTCCATGCTGACCACGTGAATTGTAATCCCACACATCCTTTGAATTAAACATAAATCTATTCATATCAGTATCTTTTGTATAATGGTATATACCAAACTGATTGAACGATCTGATATTATAATGACCTACATTTAAAAACTATCATATTATGCGTGACGTTTCTTATCATTCTTTATGCAAGAACAGTTCACGCATCAATCACTTATGGCTTTGAAATATTGATGACATTTGCGGATTTGCAAGTACCCAAGTTTTCCTGTATCAGGAAAAACATACAATTAACCTTACAAGAGCATGTCTTTGAATTATTGAACTTTACACTGGCTTAATTATTGAAACTTATTTTGGAGTTAACCTTTTCACCACCAGACACCCCCCCCCCCGAATTGTCTGCACTTTTTTCTTCAATATTTATGAAAATAAACCCTAATTTTGGAGCCAACAAACAAAATTATTTTTGTCCTAATCTTCTGAAGGAAAGTGGAGACTATACACAGGACTATTTTGTGAATTTGTGATGAAAAGAGGGAACTGGTGATGAAGAGGTTAATTTTTTGTTTATACAGAATTAGAGATGTCAGCTGATGCATGTGGATTATGTTTGCTGTTGTCATGGTTATACCAGAAATGTACATCGCTGTCAAACCTGTGTTTATATCCACCTCCACACAGCTGCTATCTGTCAATAGTGACCACCTGCCTGACCACCCTGGAACTGGTTCTGTCAAATCAACCTGTGTATACCAGTGACCATCCTGGAACTGGGTCGATCAAATCAACCTGTGTATACCAGTGACCACCCTGGAACTGGTTTGGTCAAATCAACCTGTGTATTATACCAATGACCACCCTGGAACTGGTTTGGTCAAATCAACCTGTGTATACCAATGACCACCCTGGAACTGGTTTGGTCAAATCAACCAGTGTATACCAGTGACCACCCTAGCATTGGTTTGATCAAAGGAACCAGTGTATACCAGTGACCACTCTAGCACTGGTTTTATCAAAGGAACCTGTGTATACCAGTGACCACTCTAGCACTGGTTTTATCAAAGGAACCTGTGTATACCAGTGACCACCCTAGCACTGGTTTTATCAAAGGAACCTGTGTATACCAGTGACCACCCTGGAACTGGTTTGATCAAAGGCACAGTGTATACCAGTGACCACCCTGGAACTGGTTTGATCAAAGGAACCTGTGTATGCCAGTGACCACCCTGGAACTGGTTTTATCAAAGGAACCTGTGTATACCAGTGACCACCCTGGAACTGGTTTTATCAAAGGAACCTATGTATACCAGTGACCACCCTAGCACTGGTTTTATCAAAGGAACCTGTGTATACCAGTGACAACCCTAGCACTGGTTTTATCAAAGGAACCTGTGTATACAAGTGACCAACCTAGAACTGGTTTGGTCACATCAACCTGTGTATACCAATGACTACTCTGGAACTGGTTTGGTCAAATCAACCAGTGTATACCAGTGACCACCCTAGCATTGGTTTGA